TTTTTTGCATTTTCGGAATGATCGGAAACGTGAAAAAAGTCCTAAAAAGTGGAGATAAGAACATTTTTTCGTCTGCACAAGTGCACTACTGAAGTCCTATAGGAAAGGCTTCTGTAATATTAGACCTTGATGCAGAGCTGAGGTACTCAGTACAAAAACGTACATGAAATAAATAATCAGTATTGTTTATTCTTTAAATATTTTACTTAAATAATCGAATTAAATTACCGGTTTTGAGCTTACATTAAATTGTAATTAGATGAAACAAAATGGATTCTATGTATTTTGAGGTGATCTTTTCGAAAAAAGGCAAAACAAAATGTAGCAGTTTTTCGAAAGTGCCGAAATTTTGGATTTTGTCAATTTTTCAATTTTGTGCATGCGCATGTCACAAATAAATCAATATTTTTAAAACGCAGTTTACGACATTTAAAAGCTTAGAAAAAATTTTAATTTTTATGTCTCCTGAGAAATTTTGATCCGATGCACCGTTCTCGCGGTATGGACGATTTAAATTTGTTTAGTATTTTGAGGCGGCGGCGAAGGTCGAAAAATTAAATTTGTTAATTGTTCAAACACTAAATTCTTCATAACTTTGGTAAAAATTAAGATATTTGAAGAAACAAAAATTCGTTTTGAAGTTAAGGGATGTGACTATTGATTTCCAGAAGGGTACAAGAAAAATTTCAAAATTGGGCATATGGCGGAAGGGCAAAGTGTATCGCAAGCCTAATTTCATTGTTTGCCTATAACGGTCAAATTATTTAAATTTTTTTTTATACCACTTACAGAGCTTACTCTTAAATATAATAATAATAATAATAATAATAATAATAATAATAATAATAATAATAATAATAATAATAATAATAATAGAGTTTATTCATACATATAAAAAATTATACAACAAAATAAAAATGGAAGCTGATGAATAAACTACAAAATCTTGCAAAGTCGCAACTTGTTGCAGGTAAAAAATATAATAAAAACTATGTAATAATAATAATAATAATATAAAACAATGTCTCTTTACAGTGAAACATTAATTTATTAGATACAGAAAGACTGGACAGTAGAAAATATTTAAATTGGAACACAATAAAATATAATTATAAAATAAAATAAAATCCCTAAATTTCAATGAAGTTTGCAATAAACATTCTGCCTAGTTGAAGTACATATATAATTAATTTTTTTGAAAGTCAATAGATTTGAAGAGTTTGTTATGTTTTGAGGAAGTAGTTACAAAGTAGATACAAAAGTAGATACAAATTAAAAAGAAAAACATATCAATGACAGGACAAGACATGGACACGATGTGGACAGTAGACTAAGAAAAATCTAGACAGCCTTTGCCACGGAGTGTTAGGTAAGTGTGATCTTCACCTCTCACAAATAATGTTACTTTAGTGTTATATCCTTCTTTTACAGCTATAGAGTATAAGAGGAAATTAAATACATAATTTTGTTGTCAAAAGCCATTTTGTTGCGATTTTTTTGAAATTACAATAATATATTTTTTGTTTGAGGTCAAGAGACAATGCATTGTAGACTTTTAGTCCAATATAAGTATAGTTTCGTTGAACTAGAGTGATTCTACATTTGGGTAGTGTCATATTGTGATTTATACGAAATCTTGTGTTATACTGACGAGTTCCTAGGTTTATTTCTCTTGTTTTAATTATGTGTAGCAATGATTGTTTATAAAATAAGTTTCTGATAGACAAAATGTTACAATGTTGAAAAAGATTCTCAGTGGGGTATCGAAAATCTAATTTAAAGATTAATTTTAATATTCGTTTCTGAATTATTTCTAATGGTCTCAAGGTTGTTGCATAAGCTCCTCCCCAACCTATAATACCATAAGTTAATACAGATTTGGAGTGAGGGTAGCCATATGTGAGTAGTAGAGATTAAGTGTAAAGGTTAAAGAAAAAGTCCTTTATTTCTCACAAACTCAATTTATTGGCGACCGGTTTCGAAGTTGTCACTTCATCATCAGGCACACCTTGACTAATTCCATAAAGGAAGCGCTACAAAAAGTTTAACAGAACGAGTTAAAAACATGACTTTTTTAACTCGTTCTGTTAAACTTTTTGTAGCGCTTCCTTTATGGAATTAGTCAAGGTGTGCCTGATGATGAAGTGACAACTTCGAAACCGGTCGCCAATAAATTGACTTTGTGAGAAATAAAGGACTTTTTCTTTAACCTTTACACTTAATTAATACAGATTGCACTAAAGCATAATAGGTTGAAATGAGTTCGGATTCGCGCATTATCTTCGATATCGTTTTGAATATATATAATAATGATCTAAGTTTTTTAACCATGTTGTTAATTTGAAAATTCCACTTCAAGCAGCTGTCGATTGTTATTCCTAAATATTTGGCACTAGATGACTTTGTTAAAGACCACGATGTATTTAGGAAGGGTAAGTCAATTACTATAGGGTTTAAGCTACTAAGATCATTCTTAAAGTTTGAAAATGGTGGATAAATGGTTTTTTCTAAGTTGATAGTTAACAGATTTTCATCAAACTAATGTATTGCTTTTTTTAAGTCGGTTTTCACCCTAATTTCGACTTCCGCCCACGTGCTACCTTCAACAATCAGTACAGTGTCATCAGCAAAAGAGATCACTGTGCCTTTTGTTTTTAAGGAGAGTAGTTAATTTAAATATAAGATGAATAAGATAGGTCCTAGTACTGTTCCCTGCGGGACACTATATGTGATTTCTTTGGTTGTACTCCGTTGACCATTTACCTCTACCAATTGCGTCCTATTAGTAAGATAGCTTTTTAATAGCGTATGTGCATTCCCTCGGATTCCAATATTATAAAGCCTTGACAAAAGCCTTTGATGGCTTATAGTATCGAATGCTTTTGCCAAGTCGATAAATATACATGCACACTTCTTACTCTCACCTAGGCTTTCGGAAATTTTTTTAGTAACACAAGCAATGGCATCATTTGTTGATTTTTGTTCTCTAAATCCGAATTGCATATCACTTAACAAATTATTTTTTTTTAACAAAATTGGTAATTCTAGTTTTAAATGTTTTTTCAAATATTTTTGCCACATTTGAAATTAGACTTATAGGCCTATAATTTTCAGCTTTGGTTTTTTCCCCTTTTTTAAATATAGGTTTAATAACAGCTACTTTAAACTGTGACGGGCAGATACCCTGCTCAAACATTAAATTAATTAAATAAGTAAGAGGGGATGATATTTGATTTATTACTTCTTTAAGCAATTTTACGGTTATTCCATCTATCCCTGGAGATTTTAATTTCTAGTTCTGTGATTGGCTTTAGGAAAATTGTATTTTTGTTGTATACCGTGGCGCAGTCAGTGAAAGCTTCCTTTTTATTATCAGTTATATGTTTTGCCAGGCTTTTTCCTACTTGTATGTAGTGAGTATTGAAAATTTTACTTATTTTTGTTTGTTTCGGGTTTTCCAGCTCCATCAAAAAGTTCTGGAATACATGTAGATGTACAGCCCGAACTTTTATTAGTGTATTCATTAACGGCCCAAATTTTTTTACAGTTGTTTTAATTATTTAATATTAAATGTTTGTAATAGTCTTGTTTTACCTGATGTATTAAATTGTTAATTTGGTTTCTATGTATTTTATACATCCTAAAGGCTTCGTCAGTTTTATACTTCTTATATGCTTTGAATAGTCTATCTCTTTCTTTCATAGATTGGATTATTCCGTCAGTTATCCACGGTTTTTTTTTTGTGGTTTAATTTTTATGTTTGCAGATGTTGTGGCTGTTGCTACGCTTAAATTAACAATATTTATAAACTTGTTTGTAGCCAATTCAACATTATTAGTTTGGAATATTTCAGCAAAAGACTTATCATTTAAAGAAGTTCTTAGTTTATTATAATTAATGTAATTCTTAGTTACAAAATTAGGTTTGTTTTTTATTTCTTTTTTATTTATTAATGGATTATTAATTTGAAGAATTGTAGGGCTGTGATCTGTGATTTTTGAGTGTAGTATGACTGGGATTAAAAGATTAGAGTCGATAAAATTACTCTTAAAGAAGATGTGGTCTAAGCAACTTTTTGAGTTTTTTTCAATTCTGGTATAATCATTGATAGTAGACTTGAATCCTAATTCGTATAAAATATTTAGATATTCGTTTGCTTCTTCCGATGGGGTTAATATGTCGATATTTATGTCACCTACAATTACTTCTGTACCTTTCAGTGAGGTATTTTGTAAATAGTTAGCTAATGAATTTATAAAGTCCTCAGTTTTAATATCATGAGGTTTATAAATACATGTAATTCCCATGGTTTTACTTTCAATATTTAAAAATACTCGTATACATTTAATGCTAGCAATATCGATAATGTGTGTCTCAAAATTATAATCATTATTAATATAAACTAAGACCCCGTCAGTAATATTGACTCTACCTTCGTTGTAGATTAAATTATAATTTTTCAAATGAAATAGTTGAGGATTTTCTAATATTCTTGTCTCCGTTAATACTATAATATCAAAAAATGAATTGTATTGATCTAACAAAATTTCTAAAGGATTGTAATTTTTCTCAACACTTCTGATATTGGTGTGGAAAATTGAAAGGTAGTTTGAATTATGTCTCAAATAATTTTTGGATACATCAACAGTGTCAGCTACAAAGGTAGTAATCTCAGACAAATTAAAGTCTCTTATATAAGGATCCATATTAACATTACACAATGTAAACCTAGAACAATCTAATTTTAAATACTAAAAAGTTTATGTATATGTTTATGGTATAAATAAGCAAGGCAATTTCAAAAAAATAAAATAGAAAAATTAACAGTTTATAACACAGAAAGATAAATATATTGTCTTATTTGTTTAGAAAACGTTTCGGTCTTGTGTTAGTAATAGACGATGAAGAGTTAGTACGGGATTTGTTTGTTTTTTCTATTCTGTCTTCTTTATCTTTTGTTTCTTCCTTCGTTCCACGTTCGTTTACATTTCTTGTATTACCTTGTTCGATAGTTAGGCCTTCTTTAACTTTTGTAGTATCTACTAATATTCTTTCTTCCATTCCATTATCATTACTTTTAGTGCTTAGGTTTATATTGGATTCCGTGATTGGGGTTTTCAGTTTAAACAAATCTATATTATCCTCAAAAAATGTGTGATTTGGTACAGGTCTATTAGGAGCACTATGAGGTTTGATCGTGTTCTTGATAGGAGAGATATTTGAATTAGTTTGTGCGGGAAGATCTAACTTATTTAAGTCTTCTACAGTGTAGACATCATCATTAATAATAAGAGACCAACCTTTTATTTTGGCAAAGTAATTTTGAGACCTAGCAGCCTTTAAATGTGTTCTTAGAATTTTTGAGTCTTGTCTGTCCTGATAGGACTGATCCTGGACAACGTATACCTCAGTGCCCTTCAGCTTATGGCAGTTTTGTAGTAAAAGTTGCTTTTTCAGGTAGGAAATAAATTCCACTTTTATTGCACCGCCATTTCCAGCTTTAATCTTATACGTGTGTGAATTTTACCGAAATCGGATTATAATTGGCCAAGATATCAAACAATTTAAAAAATTTTTTTCCCTAAAAAAAAACTACTTTTTTTTCGAAAGTTTGAAGTGGCACAAAAATGCCAAAAATGCACCCAATGACTCATAACTTTTTTTTTTTGAATACTCTATTATGTCTTAAATAGGATTACATTACGGAAAATTCTGCAAAAATATTTTATTTATTTTTTTGACCACTGTTCATTGAGTGACGACCAAAAAACATTGTTTTTGAGAAAAATTGCCTAAAATTGACGATTTTCAGTTTTTTGGTCTGAAAATTGAGCAAACCCAAATGTCATGTCTTCTGAATGTGTATACAAAGTTTAAAGTATGTATGTTTCTTCTAAGTTGTAGAATTCTCCCGACAAAAGTCCCATTACACGTGCTCCGCCAGTTTTAAATTTCTTACATACCTAAATTTATTAGGCCTAAAATTTATTAAATTGTATTTTACTGTTTTGTTATAAGACGTTTCTTGAGTTTTGTGCAAAAAATAGAATTACCGCAAAATTAGCCGGACGTCGTATCAAGGATAGCCATGGTCTTGGCGTTCGCTATCCGACAAGTTTAAATTTGAAACGGTCATATTATTACAAATTGAATTGCTTCATAGTGTTCATCGGCATAGATTTTTAATAACCGTGTTCAGCAAGCTCTGTGTAAACGTGGTTTTTCGGACTTCTTCAGCAATTTATTGAGTAAGTACGTTCTTAAATTAAGAAAATTCTTTTTTTGTTTCCAGGTTGCAATGGCTGGCCTGTGTTTATTATGTCATCAGAAACTTGCAGATGATGAACTTACCCCAATTAGACCGACAGGATTGAAAGGTCTGCAGATGGTCAGCAAAGAGAGAGGGGATGATTTTTTCAGTTCTTTAAAACCAGCTTTTATATTGCATGAGAGGTGTCGCCAACATTACGTAGCTCGACGTTACGGAAAAGAGTTTATTTATAAAACCTGGGATAGGCATAAAAGGGCCGCGATTGACAATGCCAAAAAAAAGGAAAAAATGGAATCAACCACTATGCATTTACTTCAGTGAAAATAGTAAATTAAAAACACTTCTTTTTCTACTACCTATGACTCGTTAGTTATTTCTACAAAAGAACCCAATTCTTCTAACACCAGCGACATATGCTACAGAACATTTTTACCAAAGAAATATTCGGAAGTAACACCGGTATTTTTTCAGCCCTTGTTTTTCAGGCGTTAGCTCTTTGATTTGCATCAAATATTTAAATACATTTTTAACCTAACATTGCGTTTAGAATGAATGCATAACTTAAACCAATATTGTAGAACAATGAAGGTGCAAAATTAAACACAAATATAGGACCAATGATGAAACTCAATATTGAGTTTTGTTTGTTGTGCAGCATAATTTCTATATTGTATTCAATATACACATTAATCTCCATCCAATTTTGTTTACTTATATTGGCATTTTATCGAAAAAATATATTGAACTAATGTTTAAATACAACGTTAGCAATTTGATGGATAGCCAATATTGAAATAGTTTGTCAAGCCAACATTGTAAACTTGAAGCAATATTGACTTTCTATATCAGGCCAATATTCATTGCTACCTGGGGGGATGAGTTGTTTTTTTGTCAATTATTAAATTCAGTCTTTTTAACAGTCATTTCTCACTTAGCTTAAATGACGCAGGTAGAAGTGAGTTTGTTCTGAAATACTAATAACATTTTAAGTATTTTAAACTTTATACAAATTTTTCACAACTGAACCAAATCATCTTTTACCAGACATTTAAACAAACAACTATCTTTGAATTTAAAATAAAAGAAAATTTAGTTTCTAATTTGCGAAACCGTTTTAAAATCATGCAATTAACGAATTCTTTACTCGTGCCTGTTCATACATCCAACGAGATATTATAAAAGAGAAATTGTTCTATTAAATCCTGAACAGACATGGCGGTCGTCCTTTGGCGGTAGAGACTTCATTGAATATTCTCCGTGTATATTGCTGTGAACAAATAAAAAAGGATTTAAAGTGGAAACATAAAACTAAGGAAATTTAAATATAAATTAGAAACGCCGTATTGTGGAAAGAATAAGTTGGGAATTCCGCTTGTTCTCTACTTCATGGCCTTATGGACATTTCTTGCATTTTAAGTTTTTCTTTGAGAACGCTAGGAGAGTATGAGCTTTGTTTATAAAAAATGCAGGTCGAAAATCTAGGTCATTATTTAATTTGATGCCATTGTATTTCATTTCATTTACATTTCCGTGAATATTAAACCCAAAAAAAGGTATACAATTAAGGACAATGGGCGTGTTTAGTGTAAACGAATTTAACGAATCTAATACTATTACGTGTTTAAGCACAGAAAATGTAATACATATTTTAAATAGATAGTAAATAATAAAGTTATAATTAGAGAGCGGAATATATGCAAAATGCATATACAGGGTGGCTCACGCTCAACGGGACGGAGCTTTATGGGAAAACGACCAAAGATATAAAAAATTCGTTTGGGAGGAATACGTAGGTTACAGACGGCTACAATTTAAAATTTGTTAGATGTATACAGGATGTCCCACATAAGAAAAAAAAAATTAGTTCATTAAAAATTATTCAAACAAGAGTAAACAATTAATTTCTGGGAGACTTTTTTTCCTTAAAAATTCAAATAAATCGAAAACTAATAATAATAGTAATAGGGAACCTTTAGTTAACTGACATTATTTTTGATGTAGTTTTTAATTCTAAAATAAAAAACAGGGTGTTCCATTAAAAATAATATAACTTTGTATATTTTCTCTTATGTGGGACATCCTGTATACATCTAACAAATTTTAAATTGTAGCCGTCTGTAACCTACGTATTCCTCCCAAACGAATTTTTTATATCTTTGGTCCTTTTCCTATAAAGCTCCGTCCCGTTGAGCGTGAGCCACCCTGTATATGCATTTTTTGCATATTTTACCAAAGTTCAGAAAATATTGCATATTTTTCCAAAATTCAGAAAATATTGCATATTTTACCAAAGTTCAGAAAATTTAAGAAAATATTGCATATTTTCGAAAAAAAAAAATGTATTACTATACTGTGCAAATCAAAAACTGTTTTAACAGATTATACAGATATATTTGAAATAAAGACCTTTTAAATTTTTGTATTTGTTTTTAAGTGTCACTTCTTGTAAATTCTTGTTAATTAGTTCTTGGAGGGTAACATGCACTGGGTTTTTACCTTCTTAAGAGATTAAGCCCATTAAGGTAATTGTTAATAGATGGTATTTACACAGATAAAGTATTACCTACAATGCAATAAAACGGTTTATATAAAATTCTCAGTAATTTCTTATAACCAATCTACCCTAACATCGGAATATTTTGAATGTTTTTCATTCAGTTTAATGAGATAGTATCCTCGTTTGTTGTTTTAAAAGTGTCCTAAAATGGAGAGAATTTCTTCGTGAATTATTAACTTTCCAGAGTTGGAAATCAATGGGATAAAGTTTTTTGTAAAGCTTGTGCCAAAATAGTGGTTTGCGAAAAAAGTTCAAAGTGGTTCAACACGTGAAAACATCATTGCATAAAGCCAAATTGCAAAAAATGAAATCACAACCGGTTCAACAATGCGTTGTGAGGTCATTTCAAAACGCCGACAAAACAAAAAGTGACAAGGAGGTATTTAATCAGGACTTGTGCAAAGCTCTTGTTGTGGCAAATATTCCATTAAAGAAGTTACAAAACCTACATCTAAGAGAATTTTTACAAAAATATTTCAATAAAACCATTCCTGACGAATCTACACTCAGAAAAAAAATGTACATGCTATATATATATATATATAAATGTAATAGAAGAAATTAAAGTTTTACTGGATGATAGCAATTTTTATATCATTGTTGATGAAAGCACAGATGCTTGTGGAAGATATATGGTACATCTTATGATTGGAGCCTTAAAAGAAAATGAACCAGGTACATCATATTTAATTGCATCAAAACAGTTAGAAAAAACTAACAATACAACTGTTACCCAATTTATTCAACAATCTCTAGCAGAATTTTTTTTACCAAATCAAATTCCCTCAGAGAAGTTCTTAGTGTTTTTGTCTGACGCAGCACCATATATGATAAAAGTATGGAATAACTTAAAAATATTTTATCCAAATATGGTCTACGTTACTTGTCTTCTGCATGGAATAAACTTAGTTGCAAAAACTGTGAGAACAGAATATCCCTTGGTTAACAAGCTAATTTCGAATGTGAAAAAAATATTTTTAAAAGCCCCTTTAAGAGTGCAGTTGTATAAAGAGAGAATAGTAGGGATGTGTTTGCCCCCGGAACCCGTAATTACGCGATGGGGAACATGGATTAAAGCAGCTATATTCTATGCAGAAAATAGAAGACAATTCACAATGTGTAGTGCAAAGTAAAGAATTGTTAAAAAATCACCTTGTGCCTAAGCAACTTGTGTTTATAAAGGTTAATTTTAGTAATAACTTCATTGGAAAAGAAAAATTTAAGTTTAATCGA